ATTTATTTATTTATTTTATTTATTTATTTGATTTGCCAATTGTTTACAAGATAATAAGTATAAGTGTATACATAGTTGTGAATACATGAAATGGGTACATATAAGAAAAATAAAAGAAGAATAAGAGAAACAATAGGACAGGGACGGTAGGCACGTTGGTGCGCTTATGCACGCCCCCTACAGACCTCTTAGGAAAGGGGTGAGGTCAATAGTAGACAGTCTAAGGTTAAAGTTTTTGGGGTTTGGGGAAGAAACTACAGAGTCGGGTAGAGTATTCCAGACATTGACCACTCTATTGCTGAAGTCGTATTTCCTGCAATCAAGTTTGGTGCGGTTAACTTTGAGTTTGTATCTATTGTGTGCTCTTGTGTTGTTATGGTTGAAGCTGAAGTATTCATTGACAGGTAGGACATTGCAATGTATGATTTTATATACCATGCTTAAATCAGACCGAAGACGGCGTAATTCAAGGTTTTCTAGTTCTAGAATTTCAAGTCTGGTGGCATAAGGTATTCTACAACGAGTAGAGGAGTGGAGAACTCTTCTTGTGAAATATTTCTGGACTTTCTCAATTGTGCTAATATCAGATATGTAATGTGGGTTCCAGACTGATGAACTGTATTCGAGTATTGGTCTAGCAAATGTTTTGTATGCTCTGGTTAGTAGTGTGATATTACCAGAGAAAAAGCTACGTAGGATTAGGTTAACAACTCTTAATGCCTTTTTGGCTATGTAGTTGCAGTGGGCTCTAGCACTTAGATCATTAGAGGTGAGTATTCCAAGGTCCTTTACAGAGCTTGGGTCATCAACAAGATCTTGACTATTCAGCTTGTATTTTATTTTCTGATTTTTTTTGCCAATATGTAAGACAGAGCATTTATTTGTTGAGATTTGAAGTTGCCATTTGTTTGACCATTCTGATACATAGTCAAGATTTTTTTGTAGGGTAGCAGTATTGTCTGTGGTATTGAACAGCTTTACATCATCAGCGAAAAGAACGCAATTGCTCTTAATATGATCACAGAGGTCATTTATGTAGAGTATGAAGAGAGTTGGTCCTAGAACACTGCCTTGGGGGACACCACTATTGACAGGTACAGAATTTGATAGGACGCTCCCAATTTTGACCATTTGTTGTCTGTTTGCCAGGAATGCTTCTATCCAGTTATTCAGTTGTCCAGAGATACCATAGGATTTTATTTTTAGGAGTAGTTTGTCGTGTACCACTGAATCAAAGGCTTTACAGAAGTCTATGTAGATTGCGTCTATTGCTTTGCCCTGGTCGAGTTGTGTCGTCCATATGTTTTTGCAGTGTAAGAGTTGCAGATTACAGGATAGTTTTTTTCTGAAGCCAAATTGTTTATTGGAGAGTAGGTTGTTTGTCTCTAAGTGGAGGATGATGGATTGGTTAATAATTGATTCCATGACTTTACAGGTGACGCAGCATAAGGAGATTGGTCTGTAATTTTCAACTAGGCTTGGGTCTCCCTTTTTGAAGATGGGGATGACTGTGGCTTGTGACCATAGGTTAGGCAAGGAGCTGGTCCTGAAAGATTTTTCAAAGATTATGCTTAGAGGTTTGGCTATGGCAGTGGATAGCTTTTTTAAGAAGTAGGCACATATTCCATCCGGTCCAATAGATAGAGATGGTTTTAGATTGCGTAGTGCTTTTTCAACATTGTCTTCTGTAAAATCGATATGTATTAGATCATTGTTGTTATCTGTGGTACGGCTAGGAAATACTGGGCATGATCCGTTGCTGTTTACAAATATTGAGCCGAAGAATGATGACTGATTTCAAATTCTGGCAAGGCTTTGAGCTGTATTCCAATGATAAATAAATCAGAGACAGTATAGGAAAATTAAAGATGGCACTTCTAATAGCATTGGTTTCTTTCTTTTTCTTTATTAGCTTTGACATATTTGATTCTATTGATGACTGTATCTTTATTACATACTGCATGATTTACTTCTTCAAGTCCTCATTGGTTAAAGAAGGGAGCATTTAAAAATCTTCACTATGTAAAATTATTCAGAAGAATAGATGGTCAAGAAGGCAATTCATTGGACCTATCAAAAAACTATTAGATCAGAGCAATTCACTTTGTGTCGGCTGGTCACAAAAATCTCCAATGAGAAATAAGAAAAGGAGAAATTGCTAATATTAAAACTCTAGGACCAAAATGTAATAGCTATTCTGTTGAGAGCAACATGCTTCCAGATTTACTTCTGGCACTGTCCATGCAGAAGCAGGAAGAAGTAACAGAACAAGGCATCTGATGTTAGTAGGAAGGAAAGGCAAACTTCACAATGAGGAGTCCTTGATGCTCTCTGAGCTTGGTTATTTTCTTGCAGACATTTCATTCCCCAGTTAGGTAACATCTTCAGTGCTGATGTTGTTACCTAGTTTGGGTAATGAAATACCTGCAAGAAAACAACCTAGCTCAGAACCTCTCACTTCAACCCTGAGTTCCTTTGTTGGTAACATTATGCTAATCCAATGTACCAAAATCCTAGGACAGTGGGAATCAAGGTTGCTGATAGATTTATAGACACATGATACTAATGATGATAAATATGTTAAGCCATTTCAATTCCCAAGGCCACAGAAAACATTCTAAAAGAGTATAACAATTCAACCCTGCAGCTATGTGTCATGAATAGAGTATTAGATAAAACTGAGCAAAGAAGATAGTGAAGCCTTAATGGTTAAATTCTCTGAAGAATGCTTAAAACTGGATATGTTTAGCCTAAAGAAGAGCAAAAGAAAGCTGGTATGATAGCAGTCTTCCAAAACTTGAAGGATTGTCATAGGAAAAATGGTGTAGATTGTTTCTCTGTAGCTCCTGAGAGTAAGGCAAGAACCACTGGGTGTAAGTTTTACAGAACAAGATCCAGATTCGAAATAAGGAGGAATTTCTAGACCATGAGAGCTTTGAAATTGTAGATGAGCCTGCCTCTTGGAGTTGCAGGATCTCTGTCACTGTACTTTTGCAAGCAAAAAATGGACAGCCAGTTGTTCAGGATGGTATGTGGAAAACTGCTTTGAGCAGAGGGCTGGACTAAAACTCCCAGCTCCTTCCAGCCCTTTCATTTAAAGAAATCACTGCAATCTGTATTCTTAGAGTTAAGACACACTTTTGATAAGTTCATTCTGAGACTGACCTCTAAAATTTGTGAAGAAAGGAGGGGGCAGAAAAGAATTACGTGCAATGTTTCTTGCTGGAAAATTTATTTTAGTAATATTAGTGATAGTCAGTCCAAATCAGGCAAGAAAGATATGTTGCTAGTAATACAACAACAATAACAATAGTAAACCAATAACAGTAAACCACCAAACAGCACTCAAATACTTCAAAATAGAAAATATCCTTTTATCCTACATATGGCTCTTTTTGTGTGTGTGCGCGCGCATGCATGTGCATGTGTGCGCACATGCATGTGTGCATACACATATGCATGTGTGTGAGAGAGAGTTAAAGGAGAGAAAGGGTAGGAGAGAAATGTTTAATTTGTTTATTTGTATCCTGACTTTTATTACTTTTACAAACAACCCAAGGCGGTGAACATATCCAACAAACCTCCCACTCCTATTTTCCCCAAAACAACAACTCTGTGAGCTGGGTTGTGCTGAAAGAGAGAGTGACTGATCCAAAGTCATCCATCTGGCTTCCATGGCTAAGGTGAGGCTTGAATTCACAATTTCCTGTTTTCCAGTCCAGTGCCTTAGCTACTATGCCAAGCTGGCTCTCATTTGCAAGCCATAGAGGAAAACAACAGGACCCTTTAATAAGAGGAGCATATTCAGACAGGATAGCAATAGCACTTAGACTTATATACCACTTTACAGTGCTTTACAGCCCTCTCTAAGCAATTTACAGGGTCAGCCTGTTGCCCCAACAATTTGGATCCTCATTTTACCCACCTTGAAAGGATGGAAGGCTGAGTCGGCCTTGAATTGTTGAGATTTGAACTGCCAAATTTCAGTCAGCAGAAGTAGCCTGCAATGCAAGACAAATTCCTTGTACGTCCAATCATATTTGGCCAATAAAGAATTCTGTTCTGTTCTGTTCTGTTCTGTTCTGTTCTGTTCTCTTCTCTTCTCTTCTCTTCTCTTCTACTGCACTCTAACCACTGCGCCACCACAGCTCATATTCTTAAGGATTCTTAATATCTGGAGATGTTCTAAACAACTTTTAGGGCACTAAAGTTTAAAATTTAATTGCACCTTCATTAAAGTCAATTTGAACATCTGAGAGTAAAAAATAAGCGGCCACCAGAACAGATTTGTTGTGGTGCTTGGTAAAAAAAATAAAAAATCCATGCCAATAGAAGCTTTAAATAAGTATGTACCTAGATAGGAGATTTGGTATGTGGTTATGTGCATGTGGTTTTTCTCCTGCAAGGCAACTTCAGTGTTTCAAAATATAATGTGTGGTGACTTTACTTCACTACTAAAGCGAGTCCATACCCTGAAGGAATGGTCTTTGAGCAAAACAGATCCTGGCACGTATAAAAGAAGCTGAGGCGTTTCTGAAGTGCCTTGACACTGGCAACGAGTAAATTACCAAGTAAAGGGCTTTAGGACAGAGGAGAGGGCACCCCTGCTCAGATGCAGAGCGCAAAGCAGGGCTAGTCTCCAATGGAAGATGCAGAGCCTGATTTTCCTGGAAGGCTCGAGCGCCGGTGCTTCTCATTCTAGGAAAGGAGCTCAGCCTTGCCGCCACCTCCCCCCCGAGCCACCGAAATACCCTTGGCCAGCGCTTTTGCTGACATTGACAGGACGCCTGCCGGTGTCTCTTTCGGCTCCGCCCTCGGCTCTACGTCACGCTCCCTTTAAGCCTTCTGGGAGTCGTAGTGTCTCTCCTTCGCGGCGCGCCTGAGATCGTCTCCTGGAAAAGACTACAGCTCCCAGGCGGCACCGGGAGGGAGGTGTGGGCGAAGTGGGCGGGCGCGGCGGAGTCGGTCGCGGGCATAGCAATACGAAGCGCAGCCGAGTCGGCAAATAAGGCGAGTCGGCGGCTTGTGAGGAGCGAGCGCGCGTGGCCACCGCCGGGCAGGCTCCGCTTTATTGTTGGGAGGAGGACAGGACGCTGCTTTCCTCTTCTCCACCCGCCACTCCCGGTGGGGCCGCGGAGCGAGACGAGGGGGTCATGCAGGCGGAATCGGGCATTGTGCCGGACTTCGAGGTGGGCGAGGAGTTCCACGAGGAGCCCAAGATCTACTATGAGCTGAAAAGTCAGCCGCTGAAAAACAGGTGCGCGCTCCTTTCCCCCACCCTTAAATCCACTGATTTTCCTCTGCCCTCCCCAAGCCTTTGCTTTAATCGATCGCCTCGTCCTCCAGGCTGGAGCGGGACGTCTCACGCACCTTTGCATAACACTGAGCCCCTCCGAAGGGCGCAAAGCGGGCAAATCTGGACCGGGAGGGCGGGCGGTGGGCTTTCGTGGGCGCCTTTTTGCCAGCCAGCCGGCCGTGTTTCTAACCCCCTCTCCCCCCTCCCCCGGGCGGGCTTTTGCCTCCCTTCCCTCGCCCGTCCCGCTGCCCTCTTTCCTTCGGACCTTCCGTCTCCCTCGCCCTCTTTCACTTTTGCTGGGGAATTCCTCGCCCTCCTCCCCTCGTTACCCTCACGGCGCGCGGGGGTCGTGGGGCTATCTGCCCTCTCTCTCAGGGACTCGCGACCCCCTCGGCTCTTTCCTATCTCCTTTCGGGGGAAAAAAAGAAGGAATAACTTCTATCCCGGAGGTAGATGGGTGGGTGGTTTTTGGGGGGGTGGGGTGGGGAGGGAAAAACATAGAACAAACCCACCCGCAACGCTTTGCCTTTGGGCTACTTCCCCCCCTTTTTTTTGCTGACCGCCGCAGCTCCTGTAGCAAAAAGGGAAAAAAAAACCAATAAACAAACCCTAACGCGTGTGGTTTGCTGTTCCGTCGCCTCTCAAGTTTAGGTAGACTTTTGTTGTTGTTTGGCTTTGCAAGGTGTGCGGATGGCGCGGGTGGGTTGTTGGCGTGCTGGGCAGAAGAGGGCCTGCCACTTTGCCCTGGGGTGGTGGTGTAGGAAGTAGTGGGCATGGCGTCTCATCTCTTGAGAGCCCCCCCCCCTTTTCCAGTTCTCCACCCCCACCCACCCCCAATCCAACAGTGTGGGTTTATTCTGCTTCTCCTTCAAACCGCGTCTCCCTCTGACAGCCAGTGGATGGGGGTAAGAGGAAAGGGGAGTGGGAGGGAGAAAAGAGGGAGGGCTGCAGAAGAATCCCCGATGTGTCTACTGGTGCCTTCGGGCTATTTTATAACAAAAAACAAACAAACAAAAAAAGCAAAACTTAAAAAAAAAAGAAAAGAAAAAGAAAAAAAAGATAATACAAATATTGAAAGGAAACAGCCCGGGCTATAAAAGCAGCCATTTAGTGAGTGGTTCCTGTCATAATAGCAGTTTTGTTTAGCGTGTGTTTGGGCGAGGAAGGAGGGGCCAAGAGCTGTGGCTGGTATTATGTAAAGGGTATTGTTGGACCTCTCACCAGAGGCATTATCTGGCCTCTGCTGGGAGTTACAGATTTCCACTGATAGTTGCATGTGTACTAAGCAATGCAGAGCGGAGAGAGAAAAACTCTTAGGTCTGTGTCTGCCTTGGACGGGCTGGTCACGTTTTGAATCACAAGGGTTGCTATACCATTGAATTGTTAGCCCAGTCACTTCTCTGAAATGGCATAAAGATCTTCTGCTTAAGTAGGGGGCTGGATTAGAAGACCCCCAAGGTTCCTTCCAGCTTTATTCTGATTTGGATTCTGACAGGTACAGTTGTGGGACCCTACTTATTTTTGCACTGGAATGATGCTGCAGAGTTTGGCAACTAAATAGTTTTCTTGATCTCATGTATAGATTACATTGATCAGAAATATTCATACACACTAAATAATTTTCTTGATCTCATGTATAGATTGCATTGATCATAAATATTGATATACAGTAAATAGTGTATATGCAATAGGGATATTTATATAAGTACCAGAAAGTCATTATTTAAATATCCCTATTGTGATAGGGGAATGAGTTCATGTGTCATTACCCTAAAAAACAAAAACAAACCACTTTTAGTTAATTTGGGATAATTCACACAGGTTTGGGAAGCACTGGTTTAGGGGAATAATGATGTTGAACCAGGCATAAAGCCCCTTTACAAGCACAAATGCACGTCTAGATTTAAACATTTTCCCAGTTATATCAGCTACACCTGTACCCTTGCTATTTTTTCAACATTCTCAGTATTGTATATATTTCCTTTTTTTATCATTTTTAACCTCTTGAGCATTAACAATTACAAATACATCCCCTCCAGCAGTCCATGTTCAGACAGGCAGGGATCATCAGGCAGTAAATAATAATAATACTATAATTACATTGATCAGAAATACTCATGCACACTAAATAGCTTTCTTGATCCCATGTATAGATTACATTGATCATAAATATTGATATACACTAAATAGTTTCTTTTTTGGCCCCATGTATAGATCACATTAATCGGAAGTGACAATGCAAGATACAATAAAGGAGAGTGAGGCTGGATTCATATATTATACTAAGTGATTGGGTTTATTTATTTATTATTACATTTTTTATTCTCCCCTTCTACCCATGGGGCATTTTGGATGGCTAATAATATAACATAAAATATTAACCATTTAAAAAGTGTAAACATAGGTAAAATTGTTGCTAATATGAATGAAAGGAACTGTCTGAAAACATATCTTCTTAAATGACAGCTGGATGTGTTTGCACAGCACACAACCTATTCAATTTATAGCTTGCTTTTCTACTCAATTAAATACTCATGTATCTAAAAAAAATTAAATGCAGACATTAAAATTCATGCTAAAATCAATTAACAACTATCATAGTGGAGGAAATTAATCTTTTATAAATGCAGAAAGTGGGGCCAAACTTAATTTGTGAAGTGTGTGGCATAGTTGGGAAAGAACTAAGTGAACCAGATGTAACAGACCTCTGCCAGTGACAGCGAGTAAATAAATACAGATCTTCAAAAAGACTTCTCTTGAAGGCCTAAATGGTTGGACTGGTTCGCCATAATGAGGGAGGCAGTCCTTCAGATCATCTGCCCTTAAGCTATTCAGATCATTAAACTTCATTTATTTAACTTCTGTAGGAGATGAGTAGGCTGAGCTAGAAGGCGGGGTTAAATGTGTCATCAGTTTGGAATCATTGCACAGCCAGAAGACATCCAAGTCCAGCTCCCCATGAATTCCATTGACTCTTATCTAGTGTCAGTTTAGCTTTGACCATTAGTTGACCAGATTCATATGTATAGGTAGCAGTAATAAACTCTTCAGTGTTTTGAACTCAGTGAGTGTTCCTGGTTCTTTGTGCCAGACAATTTCACAGTAATCTACCAATTGCATTTTGTACCATCTGAGATTTCATTTTCAAAGGTAGCCTCATTTAGTTACAGTAACCCAGTACCTGGTGATAACTTGAAGACATAGACATAATCTGGTCCAGGTAAGGCAGCAACTAGTATAACACTCTCAGCTGGTCAAAGCCCCACTTGGCCAGGGTTTCTACCTACTATTCAAGTAGGAGCTGTGAGTCCAAGAGGGCCCCAAGTTGTGGACCAGTTTCTTTAGGGGAAAAACAATTCTTGCACTGTTAATGCTAGCCCTATCTTGGAGCCACCATATTTCTAAACAAATAGTTACTTCCTCTTGCCGAGATAAAGTCAGAACTTCCTTTTACTCATCCATATCTTATCTCTGGTTCCACAGCACCTCTGTTTCTGTAATGTGGGAATGATCTTGGGAGTCAGGAGAAAGAGCTGCCGCCTAGACGACTGTCATGCAAGAGAAGTATTTTCAGACTTCTAAGAGTACCTTTGAGGTAGTCCTCAAATGAGTACTAACATTACCTTTATTATAACATATAGGAACAGAATCTTGCAAGTCTGAAGCGTTCCTTCCTTCTTTTACTTTTACTTTTGAAAAAAAAACAAAAACAAAAGAGTGTTCCTTCTGAGACTCTTCCTATGCCCCCTGTCCTTCTACGGGTTCACACACCTTTTGATAATAGGGGCCTAGGTGGTGGTTCTTTGTCCTATCTTTAAGGTCATCCTCACAGACCATTAAGATTCAGCTTAGGATGACAACATAAAGTTGAATATCACCACCATCAGTGTATATATATGACACTTCACACCAAACTGGAAGACCCACAGTGACTTCATGTAGAGGTTGAAGAGAAACTGATAGTGGTACCACACATCTTCCCATTAATACTGATCGGAAGCACCCATGGCTGCAGAATTGTGCTTTCATTTTCAGTCCCTACAGGGAATCCGGAAGTTGATGGTATCAAAAGCTAATGAGAAATATAATAGGACCAAGAGGAATGCAGTCCCACCCTTAAGTTCATAGCTCATGGTTGTCTACTAGAATGGCCAGCTTTCTTTCCATCCCACGCCCAGGTCTTTTAATTACTGAACGGCAGCATATGACCAAGAAAAAGAATCATACATCTTATTAATGCCAGGAAATCTTGGAAACAGTCCACCTTGATTACATTAAGATGGGATCTCTATGAATCAGTTGGAAGCTTATTTCTAACGATGGGCTTAGGCCTTGCTTAAGAAATAAGGATCGTCTGTTGCTCCTTTGGCATGTTTTGAACTGGCTTTTCTTTTCCATGTTCCGAGAACAATCTAATCAAATCGCTGCTGTTGAAATTAAAAGAAATTACAAAGAGTACAGATAATCTGCTTCATCTGAAGCTGAATCTTAATACCCACACTTTAATTTGTGTCTGAGAATTTGTGCGTGTTTGATAGTACAAGACATGTAATCCTGTTCTTGGCAGAAGATAGCAGACTTCTTCTGGCATTTTGCTTCCATTGCAACTTTGGAAATTTTTCCAAGGATAGAGCAAATGCAGAGCAAATGTAAGATATCAAGGTGTGGATACTTTTTACAAACTCCAATGATTTCAGGAAGAGTTGCTTCTACAGCGTTAGGCATGATTCTACACTTAGGAACTTCATTAAGTCTCATGGTTTTTAGGAGAAATATAAAGAAATTTATTTCTTCAAGTTTTTAACCCTGGCTAATTTTTATTGTTCTCCATCTTGGGCAGAAAGTGATTTATTATTGCTGATTTATTGTTGGTTTTGTGATTTTGATATATTTTCCCCTGCATTTGTAGTTTTAGCTTGCTGTAATCTGCCCAGAGTTTGTTTATTTCTTAAATTTATATG